GTTGTGAATTGTGGTTAAAATGTTTTGTAAGACGCTGTCCTTCAATGGTTCAATGGTTCGTAAGATGGGATACTTATTTTTATAGATATACATGTTTACACAATGATATACAGTACATTACTTTCTCTGGATTATGTTAACACCTATTCTTGTTCACTGCCGCACAGGATTTGGATCCGATTTGGACAGACAGTAATTCCCCAGCCAGGTAAAAAATAAAAAAAACATTTACATATGAGGCTAATAATTAAATGTGTTGCATTGTACCGCTTTGATTACATCACAGCTGTTATTTCTGCTCTGCTTTTTCTTGAGAAAAATTTAGACTCACATTACACGGTTTAATTTGATGACCTGTGAGTCCAAAAGTAGTTGTGGACATGCGATGGAAAAATTGTTTAAATATTAAGTTATATATTTTTTTGTCAGCCTCTTTTAAACATTTACTGGTAGCCTTTATTTTTGCATGTATTTGTTATTGGACAGTAAATATCCACGGTGTTTGTTTTCATAAGGCTAAATATTACTGTGATGATTGTAATACCAGTGATTATAAGATCAGGGGTATTAAGTCCTTCTAAACTTCTCTGTTGTGTTTCCCACAGTCTTCAGGAAGAAGAGACTGAAGAAGACGACTGGAGGCGTCTGCAGCCATCAACATAAATTGGCAAAGCGCAACTTAGATTTTAGTAACTCCAGGAGGTTACTGGTCCCAGCTAAGAGATAGTTAGGAATATAACCCTCTTTAAGGCTTTGCTGTTTAGCTTTGTATCTCATGTACAGACACATGAGTTGCATTATTTCATTAATTCAATTCTTCGCAAGATAGGAATTTGCTTATTCTCTATAACTGTCAAGCTATTGCTTTAAGCATTACCCTGAACTACACTAAATCTTTGACAAACTATTTAAAAAGTTTGTATTGGAGTTACCTAATTTGTGAACATCCAACATAAACACTATGCACAGCTTCATGGTTTTAGCCAAAATCTGTTTACATTTCAGTAAAGATGCTTCTGTTAAAGCTCAATAATACATTTTGTTTGTCATACTTGACATACCTATCAAGAGCCTTTTTTTTTTTTTTACTTAGGGCAAACCACTCAAATTATATTCATAAAACAGATAGTACCAGTCCTTCATTAAGACGTGAGTCACGTTCAAAGCTGTTGTAAAATACTCTATAGACACACAGCTGTGAACACTGTGCCACCTGTTGTTTCAAAATGTCGGATTTTGTTAAAACCTTGCGTACCTGTAATCCCAAATCTACCTGTAAATGTGCGCAGCTGGTTCAGCCTCACGTCCCGCCCTCTACACGCCCACATTCAACCATAAATGTTCAATGCAAAGCAGATAGCTGTTACAGTTTGTCTGTGTACAGTATGCTGGATCTTTCACTATGGAATAAACCATAAATTAATAAATAAAGTTGTGTTCACTGCAGCGATTTTACTCACAAACACTTAATAAAAACTAAAATCATACATGTGATATGTGCACAGTATTAGAAGATTATTGAAAACTAATGATGCTCTGCTCTGCAGTTCTTCAACACTAGTTGACTGTATTTTACAGATGATGATAATTTCATCAGCTGCTCCACAGCTGACCACGAGAGTCGATAGTTCGGCCCTCTCCTCTGTGCTGAGGAGAGCAGACAGCGCTAATGAAATATCAAGCGAAATTTGATTTGATTCGTCAAGTTTGTTTATATAGATCACAACTTTTGCGTGGGAAGTGGCGTACGCCTCTTTCAGACCCCGTTTTGTGCGTACGCAACGGTTATAAACGAGACCCCTGGCTATTGATTTTGAAACAATCACCAAAATGGAGCGAAACCAGGCTCTCCGACACTTTTATGCCAATGATCCACCTCTCAGCCTATCCTGGTGTCTGTTGAAAGATCCAGAGTGTATCACTGGCAACAAAGGTTTTCGTTGGATTGGTGAAAAAGCTCGAGAAGGATGAGACAAAAAAACAGCAACGTTGTTCCTACAAATGCACAAACAAAAAAAAACACGATTCCGTCGAATGAAACCAAGAGAGCCGACAGGGATTCATGTTTGAGCAGCCTAGGAAGCCACTACTGTGTCCCATCACTTCATTTTGAGAAATACCTGTCGTTGCTTTCTTCGGGCCTTTTATCTCCATCCAAAGTGGACAAACTACATCAATGATCTGTGGTAAGTTGATACAACAATTGTAGCATTGTTTACAAGTTAACAATAGCTTTTTGTAGATTTGTAGCCCATTATGCCAACTTTTCTCTCGCTATGTCGTTAATTGCAAGCAATATCTTTTTTGTTAAAGTGTAGCTTGGTTAGTGTAATGGAAAACCCTCTAATTATGCACAATGTAACCACGTTTACATCCCTTATTTTGATCATGCTGAATCCGGTACAATGCAACCTTTGAATGAATGAATCCTGGCAGCTAACGGTGCTAATAGCGCTAACAGTGCAAACAAACGAAAGTAACGACAGAGCTCACAGTCTTTAATTATATCCTGGTTTGTCAAAATGAAGGTGGTAGGGTTAACAATGACACCAGCTTTGGCTGACCTGAAACTGCTTGTGTAAAAATATTGGGCGGAAGAACATTCCATTATTTCCATCCCACACAATGACTTATCCTCTATTTACGGTGTGGAGTTTAGATGGTATGAATCATAACCATGGGATGTTACTTATCTGTGTTCTCGCTCAGTTGAAATAGAGGACCTAAGTGGACCAACATGCAAAGAGGGAACGTCTCATCAACATTTTGTTGACGGATCTCATGAAAAGAGGTATGTTATGATTTGAATAAAGAGATATATAGTATGTTGTCCGACATGGTGATGTTTGGTATGTTTGGGTCAATTAGTCCTCCGAGAGGTATAACTTTCTGTTTGAACAAACTGTTGGAACTTCAATAAGGGAAATTCGGGAGGAGTAGTGCTGCACAAAAAGTTCTGATGTGATGTTTTTTATGGAGGGAGAGAGGTACTTTTATTGTTTTCACAAGAGTGTTGTTTTTCAAATAAATAAGATAACTACAAATCATAAATTACCCACATTAACCGAGCAAGCAGGGGTTTCTTTCTTTTTACCAAGAGGCACGAGAGAACCAGAACCAGGGCTGAGTGGAGCAGACTGTCAGACCCTGCTGCTGTAAAGTTAGAGGTTTTCTAAAGGGACTCTGGTGCTCAGAAACACTCCCACTTTCGGCAACAAGAGCCACCAAAATTGTGAAACTTCCTTAGTAACGTATACAGCACATCTATTTCACAACATTTGATGAAAACAATTACAGTTACAATATGGCGGGTCAAATTGCAACACATTTCTTGAAACTTGAAGTAGTCCATCCCACAAAATGGCCGCCTTCCCATTTTTAGACTTTCTGTAAAGCAAAAGGAGGAATCTGCAACCAGCTGAGCTTTTAGACACCAACACAGTCAGCTGATCATCATATTTCTCTGATGATTTGTCGCATCTTGGAGATAAAGCGTGATTGGTAATTATCCTATGAACATAAAGGCATTTGCTAAATTTGAACTACATTTGAACACAAAGTGTTGAGTCACAGTAACTTGTACTAGTTTAGATACAAAGCTTTTGCCTCCAGTTCTCAAGGTTTGTCCCAGTTCACTGTGGACAAAGAGTGTGACTTTAACAAAGGACCCTAATTCAAATCACGTCTCCTACTAACAGTCAACATGTTGTTGTGTGATTTCCATGAAAGGCAATCTTTTTTTTTTAGCCTTGACCAAGTAGTTTTAGTTGCCTGAACACGCAGCATCTCTGTATCTGGTTGTGCTTTCTCACTTTGCAGCTTTTTTTTCTAAATGCAGCACACGTGTTGTCAAATTGGTGAAGATGTTCTCTTCATGTACCTCTGTTCTCTACAATACTTGGAGCATTTATAAAGATATAGAGGAGTAATGTCTTCCTGAGCAGAGAATGAAGTTGCTCTCCCTCTGTGTGTGTGTTGTAGTCCGAGCTTCTCTTTGCTTTGTTTACCAAGCCGGGCCGGCTGCGCTTGCCTTTAGTGCATTGTGCGTGCATGTTAATGCATGCGAGCGTGCCCCGCTGGTTAGCTCCTGGCCTCCACACTGCGCTCATACAGCTGTTACAGCTGCTAACGGTGTTACGGCTGATAAGCAGTCGTCTAAGAAGCGTAGCGCCCACCGTTAAACACTGTTTAGCCGTTGCCATGTTGAGAGCCGTGAGGAATCAAAAGAATTGTTATGAATTTAGATTTTAGCCCCTTTAAGTAGCAGTGAAGCTCTCATGGCCACTGTAGAAGGATTCTTGGGAACTGAAACTGATAGATTTGCTGACCTTGAATTTATTTTTATTTCGAAATACAGAAGTACTTGCAGAAGTGCATGTCATTATGTCTATTCCAGACAATTCCTTATCGTCTATTTAGGGTGGGAAGTTCCTGTGGTTTGAATCATAACCAAGAGACGGTACTTATCTGAAACAGAGGACCAAAGCTGACCAACATGAACGAAGGAAAGGTCAAGATTTTGTAAGGATCTAAAAAAAAGAAAAAAGGTATGTTCTGTTTTGGCTAAATTAATTTACAGACAAAGAAATATATAGTACGTTGTCCGACAGAGAGGTCTAACTCCCTGTTAGAACTCTTGTGAACAAATATACTTATTTGAGATTTTGGAGGACTAAGGCTGTGTAAAAAGTGCTGTCAACACCAATTCATTTTTTAATATTTTTTTATAGAGGGAGAGAGGTACTGATATTTTTTTACTGCGAGTGGTATTTTCAAAATAAATCATATTTTAGTTTGGAATAAGAGATTTTCCTTCTGTAATAAAAATGATCCTCAACATTGTTGTACATTAATTTATACAATGTTGCATTTAAAAAAAAAAAGTAACACTGACGTGGTCTGGCGCCAACATGTACGTAACTACAACGCGACTGTTTGTTTGAGGAAAATGGCGTCTGTAAACGACAAGCTCCCCGTAAGTTTGTTTAAAACATTAGTGTTGCTATATCATTTAGAGAAATCCCGCATTAAATCATGCAATTTGCTGTTAAAGTGGAAGTGGTAACTTAATATGGGAATCTTACGATACTTTTCTTTTTTGTAATACATTTTTTGATATTGCAGATATCCATTGAATGCGTGGACAACGCTGATGGACTTCCTGGTGAAATCATCTACGATGATATGACATTTCCCATTCCTTATCAACAAGTAAGGTTTATACTATTTAGTTTGAAGTGACATGTATTGGATTTGGGAGGACTAGTGCTGCGTAAGAAGGAGCAGAAGCAGTAGTGAACCGAATGAATCAGAGTCGTGTGTGGTAGCAACATTAGCAGCTAGCGTACATTGAAAGTGACATTTTTCTTAACCGATAAATATATTTTTGCTGCAGTTAGATTTATGTATTCTTT